AAGGGTGGGAGAACATTTCTTTTGAAAGTTTTTTAGAAGCAGGCTTGGGACATGGTTCAAGGTAGAGAGCTAGCACAATGCTATGAAGGCCTGGGATTGACCCCAAGTACTACATAACAATACCAATGACACTGGAAGTCACAGGTTCAGCTGGCCACCACTGTGATGTGAAGTACCATGAAAATTTCTCATTTCTCCAAGAAGGCCTCTTTGGCAGGCAGGTAGCTAACCTAGAAATGGAGTCAAAGAGCCCTGGATGTTCTCAGAGGCCAAATGCTCTAACCCACTGATCAACTCCCCAGCTTGTATCCAGGAGATCCATGCAGGTGCCCAAAGCTGCACTTTGAGATCACTACATTCAATGACCATGGATTAATTTGGGGGCCAGAGATTGGATGACACTTTAAATTAATGTTCAAGTAGGATAATCACAGAAACATCACTTTCCTTCCCTTCAGAGTAGTTCTGAGGGGAATCGTTCCAGGTTCTGATTCATGGGTAGAACCGAAAGTGTGGGAGGCCTGATCATCCAAGTTGAACTTACTGTCACCAGTGCACTAGGTCATGAAGTCCTACTAGAGTTCTGTGTGGATAGTTACACAACCAAAGTGGTGTTCAGACTAGGGGTATAGCCAGGGTGGGATTGGGCACGGTGGCTACCACATGGTATATCTCCTGATTTCCCAGGTGATGGTCTGGATCCATGGTGGCGCTTTGGTGATGGGTTCGGCTTCCATGTTTGATGGTTCTATTCTGGCAGCCATTGAAAATGTACTGGTGGTCACTATTCAGTACCGCCTGTGAGTTCTGGGCTTCTTGAGGTGAGCCAGGGACAGGGATGGTCAATGGGAGCTGAGTAGACAGAGGACCATCCATTGATCATCATCCTTTCCATTTCTCAGCACTGGAGACCAGCATGCCACTGGCAACTGGGGCTACCTGGACCAAGTGGCCGCCCTACGCTGGGTCCAGCAGAATATCGCCCACTTTGGAGGCAACCCTGATAGAGTCACCATATTTGGCCAGTCTGCAGGTGGCACTAGTGTGTCCTCACTTGTGGTGTCTCCAATGTCCCAAGGACTCTTCCATGGTGCCATCATGGAGAGTGGGGTGGCCCTGCTGCCTGACCTTATCACCAGCTCATCTAAAGTTGTCTCCACAGTGAGTATTCTTTACTACCCAAGGCCAAATCTGCACACTCACCCTCCAACTTCAGAGCCTCTGCCACTCTGTCTGTTCCATGGGAACAAACACCATGCAGCTGTCTCCAGAACTGGCCACCACCCCAGGGTTTCTGAGGAGCTCAAAGGTCAGAATCCACACACCTCTGCCTCAAGTGGTTGATTTTGCTCTATGTGCTGCAAAGCTGCACCCTGGGGGCCTCATCCTCAGAAGACCCATGTAAGCAGGTGTGATGGTGCCTCTGGCTGACACCTGAGCTTCAGGAAAGGTGGACAGATTTCATGCTTGCTGCAATACATACATGGCTCCCTTTGAGAATTATTATGCTGAGACCTTAGGCAGCAACCCTCTCCCTGTAAGGAGGGATGATTCAGTCTATTTTTGGTACCTTTTCAGATGGTGGCCAACCTGTCTGCCTGTGGGCAAGTAGAGTCAGAGGCCCTGGTGAGCTGCCTCAGGGGCAAGAGTGAACAGGAAATGCTGGCTATTACTAAGGTAGGCTGAATGGACGTTATTGAGGAGACAGGGGTCATGGTGTAAGGAAAATGCAGTGATTTCTACTTTGGAGCAATGATGTAATATCCAATGTTGGTCTTCTTGTATCCTCATAGTTCTGGATGGGAATTGAGACAAAAATATGCTAAACCAGGTGTAGAATCTCTGAATGGTGGTGTGAGAATCATGGGATGAGTAGGATGGGTTGGAGGTAACTTAGCTGTCAATAGAAAAGAGACTTTGCTTCCCATAATCATGGACTTTGAATACCCCCTTAGACCTTCAAGATCATTCCTGCTGTGGTGGATGGGGCCTTCCTACCCAGGCACCCCCAGGAGCTTCTGGCCTCTGCTGATTTTCAACCTGTTCCGAGCATCATTGGTGTCAACAATGATGAATATGGCTGGAGCATTCCCATGGTGAGAACCCTCTCCAAACCCCATGATAGTGTCAGATGGGAGCGGCTTTCGACTTCGTACCTTTTGGACATCCCACCCTCAACTCTAGACTATCTTTTCACCACACAGGTCTTGGGCCCCCCTGAAATCCAGAAAGACATAGACAGAGAGATC